TAAGGGGATTTGGAGGTCTCAAGTCCCATCGAACGTTGTTGCTTTCCTCTGGTTGGTTATTCGTAAAATGTTCCTTACTCACGACAACCTCAAGAGAAGAGGCTGGAGTATTGCAAGCATATGTGTGTTGTGTAATAGAACTGAAGAGTCGGCTGATCATTTATCTCCAGATGTGAGTTTAGCAAGCAAATTTGGGCGTCGATGCAATCTTTCTTGGAGGTGATGGGTCCATTTTCGGGCACTATTGGTGTGGTAATTAGAGGATGGTCTACTAACAAGCAGGTTACTTCAAAAGAGTGGTTCAAGAACAGGCTGGTTCTTGCAGTTACTTGGGAAATATTGATGGAAAGAAATGCTAGAACCTTCACGGACGATTCGAGATCATGGAAAGTAATTGCTCATAAGATCGGGAGGACTCTTCTCAATTGGAGTACAGCTCATGGAGTTATTAGCTTGCAGAATGGAACAGTGTGGCCTGCTCTGATTAATCAAGTGTGTCCCCTGAATAGAGAAGTTGAGCCAAGTCTTGCCTTGTAATGAGCTTTAGAATGTTTTTGTTTGTACTTTCGATCTGATTAGTTGAGGTTGTGGGAGTGTCTGTTCTCCCTATGATTTCACTTCTTGGAAGGTTGTTGCTTTCTTTTCTTGTTATATCTGTTCTGGGTCATCCCCTTTCAGGCTGGGATCACTCCTAACGATCTTTGGCTGGGGAGATGATGTTTGTTTTTTTCTCGATCTATTTCAAAACTTTATTCACCCTTATATAAAAATAAAAGTTTCACGACATTCAATACTTTTGACCATTGTATTAAAACAACCTAGGAAACAATGATTATTAACTTTCAGGTACCTTACAGTAGTTAATACTTGTAAGTTGTGAACACCGTATTAAATAGAGCTGGGAAACGGTGCGGTCTGGTCTATACGGTCTATGGTCCAGACCGAGAGGATGAAGTATAGACCACATACCAGACCAAAATTATACGGTCCGGTCCAGACCACGTCTGTGCAGTCTGGTTCGGTCTGGTCTGGTCCAGATAGACCACACTCAACAAAAAATGAATATTTTGTTTAGTCAACCACACAAGAAATTGAACCAATAAACAAAAAAAAATCATTGTTATTTGCCTTAACACATTAATCCTAACATGCATGAATAATTTTGATACCCTAAATCTTAATACATAACAAATATACAAAATAAAAGCATCCCAACTTGCACCATAACGTCATAAACATTAACATATTGTCATATGGAGACACAAGTATCTCTACTCTCTGGTTAAATGTGGTTGTGAATGAAGAAGGGACGAGATTCACAAAACTAGGGTGGAGACTTGGGTGTCGTTGTTGGAGTTGGGAGAATGATCGAATGGATTTTAACACGTATTGTCAAGTCAGTTGGGTCCATGGTTTGGTCCGGTAAACCGCGGTCTAGAACAGACCAGAATAAAAAATCAAAAGATAAAATAATACAGACCATAGACCAGACCAGACCATACTTAACGGTCAATGGTCCAGACCAAACTATGTGGTACGGTTTGGACCACGGTTTTTCTAACGGTCTGGTCTATTTTCCTAGCCCTAGTATTAAAGTACTGTAGAGGATAATGATTATCAAATACCGTTTGAACTTTTAACCACAACACAGTTAACCATGATTTTCTTACCATAGTTAATATCAGTTTTCTTATTAGACACCTTTGTCTTTGGATGCATGTCATAGCATTGAGCGAATTTTATACCTCACTATTTTGAAATACATTTGTATTTTTTCGTCTCATTCCATTTTGTTCAAAAAATATCCGTACAATAAACATTGTTGAATTACTTCTATTTATCAGCCTAAGGAATCCTGAAACACCACCATCAACTTACAAATTTACAACTATCGTAGAGAAAAACAACTAGCAAACTCTCGCCAATGTCAAGTTCATCCATATACAATGGCATCATTCTACCAAACCGCGATAAATTAAATTGCATATACAATTCTATGCACTTTGAATCAATGGATTTTCGAAATTGAAAGGACATCTGCCTACCATTGTGATGGATCTCTTAGACACCACGTACCTTATATATCCATGTCATTGCACTATCTCTAAAAATGTGTTGGTCGCATTTGAGCCAAATGCAGAAAGACTACTCGTGAACACCCGACGGGCAACTACTGCTACATACATTTCCATTAGTTTTAGGCTTTCGACGAAAAAAAGAGACTTTTTGAGTATTGAACTGATGGAAAAAATTCATGCACAAGATAGTCACGTACTTCTCAGTTCTTCATGGGAGTCCTCGAAGACCAAAACTTCTTTCCCACCAGTAACAGGAAACCACAACTCTCTAAGGAAGTTGCTGGAGGTGGCGGTTTTCTATGTGAAGTGAGGAAGAGGGAAGTTAAAAGAAGAACGTTCAGGATAGGTGGATTATGATTTTTCTTATCAGAAATTGCTGCTAAAATATTGATTATAAAAATAATCGATGGAGTGGCGAAAGGTTTGTGATCAGGGAAATGTAACTCTATCCTGACCAATTTCGTCGAGAAAACGACGTCATACTCATAGTAAAGACAAAACTGAGAAAAAGTTGAAACTTGAAACACATGTTGGAGTTATCTGCGACAGAATCAAGGAAATTGCTTTCACAACTTTGAGTCAGCGAGTTCGGGTCTTCACTTCAATTTTTCACTTCCAACAGACAGACGTAGTTCAATTTTCGGACATCGTACTAAATCCCCGCGGGAACCCTAAAACAATACATTTAGCTTATGAATCTCCAAGTATCGCAAATGAACCGACACATAATTATCACAACTGTATTTCAGCAGTTCACATGGCCCCATAGACTATAACTTCAGAAACGTTCCAACAAAGAGTGATATAAACCTAGAGGTCGTTTGCTATTGGGATTTTTATCAAGGATTTTGGGTTAAAACCCCAAACTTATGGGATTATGGACAAAGTCCATGTTTGTTGCAAAAATTGTGTTGGATTAGTTCTTGTGGGACCCATGCATAAGGGATTATAGTGTGATCAAAATTCGTGGGGTCCACAGATTATAAAATCCTACTTTTTTAGCTGGAATTTTGGGGAGAGCCACAATCCATGAAAGCAAATGACAAAAGTAACCTTATATATTTCCAATATTCCGATGTTGCCCTCATTATTATTTGTAGGGTTTGACAAGCAGCCTCCAGCACACTCTAGTTTGTGCATCGTATGAAGCCGCCTCTGTCTCCCATTCTCGAGTGAAGAAAGCCGCTAGCAGGGGGCTCTAAACTCTCATTGTCTCCGGCGCCGGAGTAGGTTTGTCTGCCGGTAAGCCTATGCTCTCACTCCCCTTCTCCATCTCTGTTTATGGAAGACAAGACTCTTCTATGCTATGAAAAATGAAGAAGATCGGAAATACTTCATCATGAATTTGCTACGTTAATGTCAGGTGGTCAGATGTAGGATGTAGGACTTAGGATGAGAAACTCATGTATAGTATCTGCTTCTCAAAAAACACATGTGGAATGGAGTAGGAACTTCTTTTTGAGCAAATCTGGCTAGTAGCTTCTGTTTGATTTGCTATCAGTGATCCTAGCAAATGTGCAACACTGGTTTTTTGTTAGTTTCCATGCCATTCTGGATATGTGTTTTGGTATTTGAAAGTCATTAATGTATGTAAGCTTATGCAAATTTTATGTTGTAAGTAGTTACTGCAACTTACAGCATTGTAGTCAATAAGGACAAAATTGTAAATTCAACCTTTAACTAATCAATTCTAAGGACATAAATCCAATACAAAATCCAACAAGCAAACAAGCACTTTTGCAAATCCAAAAAAAATACAAAATGACAAAATCTCACATAATCCTTCTATGATAAAATTCAGGGTTTTACACAAATCCTTGGTTTTTCAGAATCCTACAAGCAAACGACCTCCTAGTTTCTATCGGGTTTGGGATTATCTATTATGCTTATGGTCTTTTGTTATTGTTGAATTAGGGTTAATTGCAAGGATGGTCACTGGGTTTACTAAAACCGTTCATGTTTGGTCACTGCAAATATTTAATTCCATTCATGGTCACTAAGATTAGTTCAATAGTTCAAGTTTGGTCACTCTCCGTTAGTCTCCGTTAGTTTTTGCTGATGTGGCGGTCAACTATTATAGTTGACCGTTAAATGAGTTACGTGGCCAATAAAAAATAATAAAATTTAAATATTTACAATTTCCACCTCATTTTACAACTATTAAAAAATAAAAATAAAAATAAAACTTACCTCCTCTAGCCGTCGAGTTCGCCCTCTCGAAGTCAATAAGAAGAATATCAAATAACAAAATGAGCCACGCAATCGACGTCTCCGCCGGACCCCTGTTCGACGTCGGCCGCTTCCGCTCGGCGGTACCACCCTCCTTGATCCACCCTACTCGCAATTCCGGCCAAATTAGCTTCAGTTCCAATATCGCGCTCCAATCTCCCCGTTCCAGCAGGTCCGTAAGACCCGTTCAAACAGCAGCCGCCGCGGGGAGCAGTCTCTGCGTCAGCACGGAGAGCTTCTACGACTTGCTGGGGATTCCTGCGAGCGGAACGCTGCCGGAGATCAAGCAAGCGTACCGGCAGCTCGCTCGGAAGTACCATCCGGACGTTTCCCCGCCGGAGAAAGCAGAGGAGGTAAGTTTTATTTTTATTTTTATTTTTTAATAGTTGTAAAATGAGGTGGAAATTGTAAATATTTAAATTTTATTATTTTATTATTATTTTATTGGCCACGTCACTCATTTAACGGTCAACTATAATAGTTGACCGCCACATCAGCAAAAACTAACGGAGACTAACGGAGAGTGACCAAACTTGAATTATTGAACTAATCTTAGTAACCATGAATGAAATTAAATATTTGCAGTGACCAAACATGAACGGTTTTAGTAAACCCAGTGACCATCCTTGCAATTAACCCTGTTGAATTATTTTAGTACTTTTTGGAGGGGGATATTTGGTATTTTTTTAATAGGGGTTAATTATGGGTAGTTTATAAGAAAATTTGTTAAACTTATATATTCTATAATTATAAGTTGAGTAAAAAAAAAATACAGAAGAATTATTTTTTAACTGTAATCTTCTCTGTCCCCTACTAGTCGAATTCTCCCTTCTCTTGACCGACCCTTTTTTCTTGCTTTTCTTCAAATCCTCCCTAATTCCATCATTCTCAAATCCTTGTTCTCTCCTCCCCCAATTTTTTTCTAAGTTACCCATCCCAATTAGTGATGCTCCACTGTGCTAACATCAGCTTTCAGGCATCATGTTCAATGGGAGGAGGGCGGCGCTGCTTTGGCGTTGTGCGCTCGTCGAAGGGCCGAGTGGGCTCCAACAAATCTGTAAAAGGGAGTCACCTCTTTCATTAGGAAACAAACTGATTGCAACGTGTAGCTGCACAACCAACCAACCATGCAATTCACTCACTGTATAAGCTAGCTTTCGTAAGTAGAGAGACCAACGTACGTACTCTTCCCATGGCTGTCCTTGAAGACCAAAACTTCCTTGTACGCCTTTCTCCACCAGCAGCAGGAAACCACAACTCTGTAACTCTTCTCAACAGCACTAATGTCACTCCCCTCGGATTTCCGTTTCCGCTTACCAACATTGCAGCAACGAAGAATCATATAGATTGCCCTGTTAATAACACCTTCAACAGAGACATTCTCAATCTCACGGAGCTCCATCTCAGTGCCCTGGAAACGCATATATACAACACAAGAAAAGACAAAACACCCATGTCGTGAACGATGAATAATCAGTTCTCTCGAAATCAAAATATTCCCAACAAATCATGGATTTTGCTGTACCCGCTCTTCATTAAATGTCTGGACCGCGAACTTGGCGCAGTCTTCAACGGTCTCATCAAAGCCCGGCTCGCATTTAAAATGGTATCGAGAGTGTGGTTGCGCACCGACGTTCATATAATCTGGAGGGCAATCAGCATAAAAACGCTGCACGTGGATTACGTCAATCGAAGAACAAATTAGTTGGGAAAACAACGGAATGAACTTCGATCGGCAGAAGAAATCAATTAAGAATTTTGGATTTTGGGAACTTACACCATTCACCCTCAAGTTCCTCCTGTAGTAGATCATACGTAGCTTTAGCGAGTTATCGCCACCAAAATCGTCGCCCTTGTAAATGTAATCGGCGTCGTCGTACTCTTCTTTCATCTCCGTCTTGGCCATTTTCCGGCAGCTGTCGCAGTAGGTGCCTTCATAATAGGTCAATTCTGGGAATTCGTCATCGCCCAAGGAATCCATGGATGAGCAGTGGATGAATCACGCCCCGAAGTCGACGGCTCGCCTACTGATCTTCGCTTCTAGGGATTTCGATTTTGATTTTTGGTGAGGGAGGAATGACATGATCGTCTTTGTATAAGTTATGGACTGTGGTAATTCCAAGTCTAGGCCATCATTAGAGATCAGTTTTGAGCCCATTGGGCTTTTTTCTCACCGTAACAAGAATATCCAACTTTTGCTTCAATATTTTTATTTTTCATAGACAGTTTAGAAGTTAGAAGTGACAAAAGTTAGTTTTAACCAGTCGCAACCGTCGACAAATAATCAAACTGCTAATGAGAGGCTGTGGTTCACCACTAAATGGGTTAGCCTGTTAAGGTTACGCGGAGTAAAAGTACAAGCAAAATTAATGACCAGAAGACAAAAAAAAAGTTGTAGAACTTCCTCAAATAGAGCAACTCCCAATGCATGTTTTGTAGCCAGTGCTGCCACGAGTCGAACAATAAATTGACAGTCACCCACAAAAATTAACCACATGAAAACCATGAGTTAGGCACCATCGAATATCATATCATAGAGAGCTAGAAGTTCTACGAGGAAAGGGTTTGTCATACCTGGATAGTACTTGCCAATTGCAAATAGAATAGTACTAGAAGAAGAGAAGCCTACAAATTCAATTCCTCCTCCTAGACCTGGCCGCATAGCTCCATCAAAGAGAACAAGAATGCCCTTTGAGTGATAAACCATCTTAGCGTTCAAATGCAGTTAAAAGCGCGATTCTACCTAGAAGTGGAAAATGGGTAAAATCGTAAAATGTAGAATCAAAGCGTAAAATCGTAAGTTTTTGACACACCCTCTAAAATAGCTAAAATAGATTAAGTACAACATATAATATGTAAAATGTGAGTGTGTAGATTTTAGATTAGTGGATAACTACATGAAATTCATAATTAAAATGTAATATCTAACACATAAACTAATTTGCGTTGACTCAAAAGTAGAGAAAACTCATTGCATCTTAATAATAAGCTCATAAACGTAGATCGTAACCCATAAACGAGCTTGAGAATCCAAATTCTCATAAGCTGGTTTGAGTTTACATAATTACATACGATCAATTACCCATAAAGTTTCATCGTAACCCAGGAAAGTGCCACATGTGAAGGTTAAGGGAGAAGACTGATAAAATGTCAGCGGCTGTTGAGAATACCATTAGGTGTCTTTTCAACCTAATGTGAAGCCTCTTATTTCGACACTAGTTGTTAAAAGAGTGATGAATCATGTTTTCCTTTTTATATTTATTTTTTGCTGATATGTCTCCAAAATTACATCATTTTTGGCCAATTAGCACATTTTAATGAGATGATCAAAATCGTATAAAAACTCTTCAGAATCACGATTTTATCGATTTTAAGCGATTTTATCGATTTTACCAATGTTTTTACCAGTTTTTGTGACTAAGCGATTTTAGGTAGAAACTGAAACGTTTTGGTGGCCTGGATACGTAAAAACGTAAGATTTTACGTTTTAATGCGCGATTTTGACTACACTGTTCATGATGTCTACAACAAAGACTCGCAGGAGGTGGAGCAACAAGATCCTGCCCACGCTCTAACTCGAGCGGATGCCGGGAGAAGCAGCCCGCCACTCATCAACTTGAGCTTTTAATTGGTGACATAGAGAGGGGGCTAAATAAAGAATATGTTCATGTATAGCCTAACATCGCACCTTCCAAATACCCCAATACAGAAAGATTACTTTTGCAACCTCCAACCTGGACAAATGGGCAGAGAAAAACAAATATTTCCAACACATGTCATGCTCAAGATTAGACAGTCGCAACCGTAGAAGTCCCCAACCAACAAGGGACCTCAATTCCCTCGCTACCCGACAAAAGAACAGAAGTGTTTTATCATTTTGGAGCCATCGAAGCAGATCGGGCAAGTACTCTCTGTCACCAATGTCTTATCCTGCAAAATAGAGTAAACAGGTAGGAAACCCCCGAACCAAACGCCAACATAAGAATCTTAATTTTAGGGGTAATGATAAATGCCATAAGAATTTTCACAACCTGGAATCGAACGACAAAGCAAGGGAAGGATGCATGGCATTTAGTTCAGAATTTAGAGAATGATAGCCAATCTTAACAATATACTCGTGTGAGGGAGAATAATGCTAAATAAATTTATATTCGGTATGATAATTGAAGAAAGTGACATAAACAAGCTCAAATTTCCACGTCTGAGTAGTAGGACAAATCAAATCAACCAACTGATGAATCGTTAGATTCACCCAAGTGAGCAAACACGGAGAAGAAGGGAGAGTAGTAGGAAGCCAGTTATCATGAATGATATTTATTGAAGTTCCAGAACCAAACTGCAACCGAACACCACACCAAAGGATATCTTTGCCTAAAAGAATCCCTTGCCATGCCCACAAGGAGCGGGTACCCACGGGCCACGGTAGCCTCCAAAAAAGGAGCAGAAGCATGATATTGTGCACGAATCACGATAGATCCTCCCATGGTTTTCCTTGAAGACCAAAACTTTTTTGTTTTCCTTTCTCCACCAGCAACAGGAAACCACAACTCTGTAAGTCTTCTCAATTCCATCACTCTCCTCGGAGCTCCTTTTGCGTTTACCATCGTGACCACGAGACAAGGTGGACTTTATGTTTTCCCTCCTCCGAACCCCCAAACAAACCACCTTCCTTTATTATTAATATCATCACAAATAGCAGCAGCCAACAGGTAATAAGGTTCTTTGCATTGCCGATGTGTAAATTGCATAAAGCAAGGAGGTGGCAAGGGTAACTCTACCGGCTAACTACAAGGTCTTAGCTTCCATGCATTAAGCTTCTTATCCAAAAATTTCAGGATGTACTTATAGGTCTCCTGAGTCATCTTGCCATGGAGGATAGGCATCCCTAAATACTTCCTAGGTTAGTAGTAGCCTGAGATACTTAGCTTATCATAAATGTCCTTTCTTTTCCTAATCTAAAACTTTTGGATCAGAAAATCCTAGATGTATCTTTGCTAATAAGTTCTCCAAAAGCAACACAAAATTTCTCCAAACAATCAACAACTATATCAACTTGTTTAGTGTTGGCTTCAGCAAACAACATGTTAATATAAAAAAATAGATGAGTCAATGTTGGTCCCCCAACTGAGAGTCTAATCAAATTCCATTTACCATTCTCTACATCTTTCTTAATGTAGTGGCTAAGCCTTTCAATGCTCAAAGTAAAGAAATAGCTTGAGAAAGCACATCCCTTATGTAATCCTTTACTTGAAGTGAAGCTCTTAGTTTCTCCATTGTTCCACAATACTTGGAGCTCTGTTGTTGTCACACAGTTCACTATAAAATGATGCATATGTTCGGTATATTGGCACTCGTCAGGGTCTCTTCCATGAAGTCCCAGACAATTTTTGTCGTATTCCTTTGCAATATCAACTTCGAGCAGCATGTACCCTTTCTTGCCTAGTTTGCTCGGCATTGAATGAACTGTCTTCTGCAATATAAGAATATTATCAATTATGTTCCAATTAGTGACATAGCTAGACTTGTTCAGGTGAACCAGATGAAGCATAAGAGCTTTCAACATGTTAGCTATACACTTCGCCACCACTTTATAGGTAATATTCCATAAGCTAATAAGTCTAAATTGGTTCATAGACGCAAGAGCATCTACTTTAGGGATCAAAGTAAGCAGTGCCTCATTAATTTCCCTAATTATACCGGGAGAAGTAAAGAAATAAATAATGATAGGAGAAGAGTCTATGCCAATGTGCTCCGAACACTTCAGGATGAAGATGACATGAGAGCCATCTTTCCCAGGCACCTTGGTCCCATTCATGCTCATCACATTGGCTTTGATTTCTTTCGGAATGGGGATCGTGCTTATTCTGTTGAGTTCAGCAACTTAATACCTTGTTGTTTCAACCTACTCTCCTCTTGGACCAATTTACTTGCCAATTCACTTACTGTCCACTTCTCCTTAATGGCATTATAATGAATTTGGAAAGGTCCATACCGAGGAGGTAATGAATTTAGAATGAATTGAACAAGAAATGAATCATCCAACGTCATTTCTAAATTCCTTAGCCTTGCAGCAAGGTTCGTCATCTCAATACAATGATCATGCATCGAGCGTGTGCCATCAAATTTCATAGTTGCAAGATCTGCCATAAGTTTCCCTGCAAGGGATTTGTCTGCAGTCTTAAATCGTTCTTCTATTGCTTTTAAGTATTCTTTAGCAGTTGTTGGAATAGGTAGGGAGGTTTTGATGTTGCTAGCAATTGTCATACGTAAAAACATAACACTCAATCTGTCAGACTTCTCCCAAGCTTTAAAGAGAGTCTTTTCATCATCCGTACTTGTATTAGTAATAGAAGGTGGCTTGTCAATGGTAAGAGCCATATCCAAATCAAGTACTCCCAAGGTGAATTCAACATTCTCTTTCCATTCTGAGAAGTTAGTTCCCGTGAGAAGTGGAACAGATGAGACAGAAGATGACAAATGCTTTGGAAACATTGCTGCAATTATAGAGACATAATATATTTAAATGAGGCATTTACAATACATGAACAACACATATAAAGTTTGAGAATATATGAGATAAAATTATAGTGTACCTGTAGGTTATCACTATATTTATATATATTCTCAATAATATCGTTATAGCCGTAATTATTAGCTCAAAAAAATTGAGTAATATATCAACTTTAGACAAAAAAAACACAAGAAATCTGTGGATTTTCTTCGTTTTCATTATACATTTCTCCTTTATTATTGTTAAGCAAAACAAAAACTATATTTATCATAATACATGTCTCTAATGTACATACAAAATCATGAAATGTTTTTGAAAAATAACCATAAAAAAATCATGAAATGTATGTAAAAGACGTGTGGTTAAAAAAAAAATTGTCAATAACAATTGAGCTTTGGAAAGATGTTTCTCCTAAATTGTATATATCGTACTTCAACGATTGTCATGTTATTCATAACCTAAGCTCTGATACCACATGTAAACCTTGAATTTACATGAAACCCTAAGATCGATAGAACAACATGATAATCACATGAAATAGAAAAGAGATTAGAAGAATACTTCCTTCCATGGTGATTGAGAGAGAGCT